GGGCTCCGCGGGGCGGGAGGGGGTCGGGGGACCCCTGCCCCCGGGTGCTTTTTACAGGAATGGGGCGATAACGGGACGAAAAGCGGAAATTTTTTCTCGCCCGTGCCCCCCTCCCCGCCCCCGCGGCGGCGGGGGGCTGCGCGGCGCGGCCGGCGCCTCTCGGGAAGCTTTGGGGTGGGGGCTGTAAAACGGCTGGGTTCAGTGGAACGCTTGCACAGTGGGGTGGTGTAAGTAAATTAAAGTACGCTTTGGGGTTTGTGTTTGTTTTTTTTGTTTGTTTCGTTTTTTTTTTCGGGGGGGGGTAGCATAGAGATAGATAAAAGAACATTGCAAAGATGCAAGGCATTTATCCATCTGGCGGTGAAAGCAGATAGTGTTATTTTGCAGTTCCTGTAGAAAGACTGTGCTGGAAATACCCAAATTCTGGTGCAAACTCCTCCATGTAGTTGGGCCCCGACAGAACTTGTAACAGTATTACCGGGCTGCTGCCCTGGTTGCTGGGGCCAGATGCACAAATACCTGTGTCTAAAATGAAACTCCTTGAGGAAAACAAGCTAGAAACAGCCAAATCTAAAAGTCCCACTGCAAGCAAGCAAAGAGAAGCAGGAATCTGAGCTGGGCGGGCAGGAAGGTTTTACAGCATCAAGCGGTACTGCCACTAGCCTTTGCACAGGTTTTTGCACCCGACCCAGCCCTCGCACCTTTCACCCCACCTCGCTCCAAGGGCTTCCTAGGGAGCATCTCACCAAAATGAATCACCGCTCCAGCTGCGCAGTGTCAGCCCTGAAGCTTTGTTCTGCACTTCGCTTCTGCCTTCGCTAGTCGGTACCTCACCTTCAGCTAACAAAACCCCCGGGCTCTCTGCCCATGTGTTTAGGGCCGCTCAGCCCTGTCGGGACTCAGGTGCGTTGGTACCTGGATGCAGCGTGCAGGTAGCTCTCTGGTTCTCGGCAGAGCAGGCTGGTGAAAATAGTGGTGCTTTACACTGCTGAAGGTAAGCATATACTTAAGCTTTTGGCAGGGTTGACACCTTTTTGTGGCATGGTTTGTGCCATGAAGACGGGTGGCTTGCTGAAAGGTGTCTAAATCTCCCTGAGCCGGCCCGGCTGTGTGAATGCTTTCTGTGCAGGGTTCGGCGTAAACTGCATCAGTGAGCTCTCTGGCGTGCACTGGGTCTGTGAGACTGCAAGACTTTAATTTGCAATCCTGCCAGCAGACATACTTCCCATTTCAAGGTAGAAGGCAAGGAATTTTTTTAAATAATGTCTTTAAAGTTAGCGTGATAGGGAAGGTTGGGTTATACAATTTGTGTGGAAAAAAATATGCTTTTTCAATGTGACTCTTTTTTTTTTTTTAAGAAGAAGATGTACTGACAATGAAATTCTTGCTGTTTCTGTACCTAGCTGCAACCAGTTTAATCCAGTCTTTACTCTGTGAGTCACACAAGGTTAGGTTAGGTTTTTAAAGAGTGTTTCCTGGAGTCCTTACTGACTGTTTCATTTTTCAGCTATAACCATGGAGAACCTGCGTAATGCCAACAGCAGATTTGCACTTGATCTGCTCAGAAGGTTTAATGAGACCAACCCAACAGGAAATGTTTTCTTCTCTCCTGTCAGCATCTCTGCTGCTCTGGCCATGGTCCTTTTAGGGGCCAAAGGTAATACAGAGGCCCAGGTGCTGAAGGTTAGTAAAAATAAATAAATAACTAAATTCTCTTTTGCTTTATATTTTATTTACATTAAAAATTGTTGTGTTTTAGAGGAGGGAAAATGAAAGGAGGGTGTTATTTTTACGTGCTCAGGACAAGATTTCTGTCACGCTCACTGAGTTTTCCTCGGGCTCCTTTCTGCAGTTACCTTCTGCCAGCCATGCTCCAGAACCCTCTTTTCATATTTGCTATGGCCCTTGTTTCCCCACTTAATTTCACTGATTAAGTTAATTCTCGAAGTAGGAAACTAATTTCATTAATTAATCAGTCTCCATTTAAATTGACTGGAGTTTACAGCAGCAAGGCCTTACTAGTTTTTGTTGAGACGTTTCGACAAAGAACTATTGCTTTGTAATACAAGGTTACGAATGGTACGCTTATTACTAATAATACTGTGTATTTTGTAAGAAACACAATAATAATATGTAGGTTTATATTTAAAGCATAACAACTATGATAATTCATGATGATGCTACCTAAGTATCAGTATCTTAGTAACAGCTAGGCACTTGGATAGGAGCTGAGCCCACATGCTTATTCTTATCGTAGCCTTAGGTTAGGTAGGATAGTTTAAAAAACCTCATTATAAGTTGCAAAAATGGTGTACGTAGGAGTGTGCCAGTTTCCCCTGAGGGCTCCTGCATGGAAGGGAGTTGGTCACTGTTATTTTTCCCCTGTGTTAGGCTAACGCCCGCTAGTGCAAAAGGCCATATGAGACTTCTCATTGCAGTCGTCGTTATGTACTTGCCTATGAATAATTTCACCTTTGTATTCTGGACTTTAGGAGGAACTGTTTTATATGTTGAGTGGTGCTGTGCTTACTGAATAAGACAATAAAATTATTTTCTGACTACTTGTACAAACAGACTTTGAACATATATGCCATGTAATCAAACTGACAGCCCCGCCTAAGATAAACCTACTGACAACAGAAATCATGCAAAAGGAATCTAGGGGAAAAAAATGTGTTTCAGCACAGTCACCTTCAGTAATGCGTGTTCCTGTACCATAGTGCTTTACTTGCGAAAACATAGCTAATTAGGGAGACAGTGATTGGTAACTGTCAAGGGCTGTTTGCGAGCATATAGAAATCTGTTTCTGTGGTCATAATCCTATTGTAAGTTGCTTCTGTGATGTTTCTGCTCATCTATTCATATGTGCAACACAGCTTTGCATTAGTGTGGGCAGCAAGGCCTGACCAAAAACCCAGTGAGATAAAATGAGGGCTTTCCTTTGAATCCAGTGGCTGTTTCACAGCAGTCTTCTGTACTGAGAAATACATGATCTAAGTTTAAATGTGAATGTCCCTGCTTTGGTCTAGTCTTCCCTGTCAATGAGGTCTGGCAGCTCCTGCTGTCGTATCTGTAAGCCTTGGCTAGCCAGCTTGCCTCTGGGAACAGCGGTACTGGTAAAGAGAAATTGCAGTGATGCATTTGATTTTTAAGATGATA